CCCCATTTTGGAAGTTTTCATGCGAAGCTTCAGATAACTTAATTCACAAATACTAAGCTTAGACTGAACCAATGTGCACAATTTGTGTAATGTCCATTTAGCCAATGTTGTACCAAAGAGGAGAAACCCCCTCCAAAGGCGATGAGAAGTCTGGAGCTGCAGAGGGAGATCTGCTCTGTCACAGCCCAACGGTGACCATTCCTTCAGGGCTGGCTGGAAACCTGCAAAGACCTCGCACCCCGTGCTCCAGCTGAGCATTTCATACCTGAGTTTTGAACAACCAGCAGAAGAGAGTTAACTGCATGGTGGGCAGGTCCTGGGGCTCACACTGTCGAACAGGTTGTGTGCAAGAGCTTCAGGTACCAGCAGGCTCCTCCTGCCTCTCCTGGCTGGAGAGCTGTGAAGAGTGTGCACAGGTAGGACCGAGAGACAATCCCAATCAAACGCCTGCGCAGAGTCCTTGGTCTGGAAGAGTCACCACATTTGTATTTTTAAAATTTTCTTTAAAATCCTGATTATCCCCAGAGCCGCTGCTGCTTCTCCTTTCTACAAGTTTGAGCCTGTGAGAAAGAAGCCCAGCCTGCAACACCCTGCGGGGCCCCCTCCTGGAGGAAGGATGCAGCTAAAGCCCTCCCGAGCAAAGGGGTCAGAGCACACGCCTGGACCCGAGCGCAGTGACCAGAGAGAAGGTGTCTGCCTGACCAGAGGAAGTTCAACAAGGAGCAGGGGTTTGAACAGCCTCAAGGAATGTTTCTGCAGCAACACGAGTGTAAATCCCACACCGGACTCAGCTTCCTGTGAGCAGAAGAGAGTTAAGCCTCCCTCTTGGAAATAAACCAGCTGGCAGGACAAGTGCTCCTCAAGCCTGGATGAACCCTCGGCTTGCCGAGCACTGCTACAGCTCAGGGCTGCAGGCTCTGAGCTCTGGTGTGGGACACAGTTGAGAAGGACACACACGACATGTTCACTCATCCATCACCTGCCACCTCTTGCTGCAGGGAAGGATGGTGGAGAGCAGCTAGTGCCTCCTCTGCAAGAGGCCTCCAAGGCTCTCAACCGCCCCCCTTCCCTCCCCAGATGTCCTGTAGCTCCTCTCACCTCTCTGACCTACACAGCAGGTGGAACACGGCTCACAGCCAGCTTTTGGCTCTGAGTAAGAGCTGCTGGACTGCAGTTCCCTCCAACACTCATTCTTCTGGGGCAGAAGGGTCCCAGCAGCACATAACACACACCCTCTGCCCCCTTTGCAGAAACACTCAGGGACAGATATACAGCTGCAGTCCCACCACCAGCTCCCCACAAGAGACCTCAGGATCCACCACTCAGGCTGCGCTACCACGGGCAGGGTTGGAAGGAAGTTGGTCCTTCTGCAAAGGGGACTCGCGGGTGGAGCAGACCCACCTTTTCAAGGAACACCTTCCTTCTCTCATGCCGTGGCCAGCTCCTCACTGAGCCCAGGACCTCTCCACCTGCTGCCCCGCGGGGCAGTTGAAGTCTGCACACTGCGTGTTCACGGGGAGAACTTCCCGACACCGTGTTGTGCACCACACAGCACTGTGGCATTTACAAGCTGCTATACAACCTGGCTACTATGGTTCACCTTCTCAATCAACCCCATGATGGCAGAAGGAACTTTTCAGTTCCTTCAGCATCTAAGCAACACGTGCTACATGAGGATTAAGAAAGACAGGTACCAGAGCACCACAGCATCACAGCAATCCAACAGGGCTTGCTTTGCTAGAAAAGGAGACAGTTCATCATCCCTGATGCCTAAGGAGGGAAAATGATAAATTCAGTCCCCAGAGCTAGTTACACCACCTCTGGCTATCCTAGTTGTTCAAGGGAGCCTCAAGAACAAAGCTATTTAAAGGAATGGTAAAGATGCCTTAATAAGACTACATGAAAAATAAGGACACAGCTTGAGATGTCACTGTAAAAACCAGAAGGAATAAGGAGGCAGATGGGAAAATCCTAGATGTATGCAACCACAAGGAACGATACTCCCAAAGCGGTCTCCATACCAGTCCCAGCTGCATCTCTTGGTGTCCAAATCAGGTTGGCAGCAGCACAGCAAGAACCACCAGGATACTGGAAATAGGAAGAGGCTCTAGCACCGATAACCACACATCTTCCACATGTCCCACAACGACCAGCTATGGGTCTGGTACACATGGGGGGCAGGAGGGGAGGGAAGGCAGCCACTGGACAGCCTCCCCCCAACAGCTCGATGCTGGGGTGCTTCACTTTGTAGGTCCCTCTCCATTCTGCTGGCCACACGCAAAGGCTCCATTTCTAACCAGACTCCAAAAGAATGTCAGCAGTGCTACAGCCAGCCCAGCCGCAGGCTGACGGGATCCTGTACGATGACAAAAAGGGATTGTCACACACAGACCTGCCCTTCAGGCCAGCCCAGTGGAAGCAAGCCCAGGAAGAGCAGTTGGAGTTGCCATGACTATGCTTGACAAATGTGTTGTTGGAACAAGCCACAGAGCTGAACCTTGTCCCAAAGCAGCTCACACAGTGCCAAACACTGCAGACACCACTTCCGGATGGTGACACAGGTGGGGGAGTGCTAGGATTGTGGGAGGCAAAGGAGAAGGAAGGGAGGCCTGGCAGGAGTAAGAAGTGCTCCCAAAACAAGCTGGCTCTGACAGCACATCTAAGGATGCAGAGGAAATAGACTGCTGCCCCCTCTGCTCACAGGAGAGCTTGGCTGAGAGCTCACTCAACCCTTGTAAC